TCGCCGTTGCCGATGACAGTCAGTTTGATTGTTCGATTGTTCGATTGTTCGATTGTTCGATTGGACCAGAGACGAAGAATTTCTTTCCAGGTATCGAGGAAAGCGTCGATGCCTTTCTGGGGATGGAGACGGCTGCAGAAGACGACGGAGGGATAGTTCGATTGTTCGATTGTCTGATTGTTCGATTGTAAGGGCGGGATTTGCTCGATGTTGACGCCGCCGTAGTAGTCGAAGAGCTTGCCGTTGAAGCGATTGGGGAAGCGGGCGAAGTCCGAGCGATTCGTGACGACGAAGCCGGTCGCGCGATGCTTCATCAGCGCGAAGAGCGTGCGCTGGTAGAACCAGTAGATGATGTATTTGATCGCGGAGAACTTGTAACCTCGAGAGAGGTTCTCGAAGACGAAGGGGACGAAAAGGAAGACGGACGGCAGCCAGCGGAAGCCGAATTCCTTCTGCAAGGTGTATGCCGGCAGGACGTCGACATGAAAGTCGCTGCAGCAATAGAGAAAATCGTCGGGTTCGGCGGAAATCTCGCGCAGGACGGATCGGAGCCGTGGCGTGAACCAGCGGACCGCGGCAATCGGGTTGAACTTGTCCTCGCCGGGGAACGCGGGAATGGCGTGGATATGGATGCCGTGATTAGACGGGACGTTATCCGTCAGGGTGGCGAGCTTGTTTTCCGGGAGGATGAAATGCACCTCGCGCTTTCCGGAGAGGCAACGCGCCATCTCGACTGTGATCTTGGAGTTGCCGCCCATGGTTCCGGGCGGGCTTAATCCGAGGGCAAGGATGATGAGACGGTTTTTCATGTTTTTTGCCTAAGCATGGCAAGGGCGCAGCCGATGGCCTTGAGGACGGCGATGCCGGTCATCCACCAGAGCATTGCGGAAAGCGAGGCGATGTTGTGGGTCGCAAGGAAGTTTGTCCAGGACGCGGGCAGGTAGGCGGTGAAGTAGCCGTGGCCGGTGACGAGGAGCATTGCGGCGGGGTAGGCGAGTGTCAGGGGAATCATCCACTTCATGTAGCCGAAACGGAATGCGGAGACCTCGCCGGTGCCATAGAAGCTGCAGAATAGATTGATGCTGGTGATGGCGATAATCCAGGGAATGGCCCACCAGTAGGCGGAATACTTGCTGCCGTGGGGAAGAAGGGCGATGATGCGTTCGCCGAAGAGCCAAAAGAACGCGGCGAGCGCGGCATTGGTGACGAAGACGGCGAGGGTGGTTTTGAGGATGAGCGGACGAGTATCTTTGCCCTTTGAGGCCATTTCGGCGGTATAGGGGAAAAGAGTGAAGACAAGAGCTGTGGCGAGGAATCCGGCGATGTCGGAGAAGCGCGTCACCATGTAGTAGGCGGCAGAGTCGAGTTCTGGGAGACGCTGGCGGAGGATGGTCGTCTCGACAAGCGAGGAGAGACCTCCTGCAAGAGCCCCGATGCCGAAGATGAGGAAGAGGCGTCCGAAGCGGCGGACGATCTCGCGGTTCCAATAGGGCTCGGCGGGGATGGACAGTTCCTTGCGGAGGGCGATGACCGAGCCGACGATGGCGAAGGCGGAAGGTGCGGTCTGTCCGACGAAGTAGCCGGTGAGCGCACGGAGCGGCATGGTGACGAGCATCGTCAGCAGGCGGACCGGCGCGCCGATGAGCGAGATGAGGGAATTCGCCTTGAACTTCTTGAGCGACTGGAGGGCGTTTGAGTAGATCGGAGCGATGGTTGCAAAGAAGGATGAGATGAGGATGACGATGGCCAGCGAGCCCTCGGCGACGCGGATGCGCTCAAGGTAGGCGGGGAGGACGAAACGGCAGATGACGATGGCGAGGAAAAGGAAGATCGCGGTCGCGATGAAGACGCCGCGCATCAGGGTCTTCATCTGGCCGAACTTGCGGTTGATGGCGAGCGAGGTCAGCTCATTGCGGAAGGTCGAGGCGAAGACGGCGATCGGGATTGCGAAGAAGTTCGCAAGAGAGGTGAGCGGCATCACAGCGCCGAGTTCGGACGGCTCCACGTACTTCGGGACGAGCCACAGCCCGACGAAGACGTTCAGGCCGTCCGCCGCACGCATGGCGCAGAAGAGCATCAACGAATACCACCAGAAGTCGCCGAGGCGAGTGTGAAGCCGGGAGAGTAGGTTGGAAGGTTTCAAGGTTCGAATGTTGGAATGTTCGAATGTTGGGAACGGGGAGTGCGGGTTAGAGGCATGGGGCCATGTAGAGCGGGAGGTAGGTGATGCTGTTTGTCAAGTCGAGGTCCTTCGTGTGCAGGACAATGGGTGCGGCCAGTTGGCTCTTGAACTTTCTCGTGAACTTGTCCAAGGAGGCGTGTGAGTACTTGCGCGAGGACTTCACTTCGACGGGGATGATGTTCTTGCGGCGAGTCAATTGCGGTTTCGTCAGCAGGAAGTCGATTTCCATGCGTTCGGCCCGTGTCTTGGGGTCGTTTCGCGAATAGAACAGCAGATCGTGCCCACTGGCGGTCAGCATTTGCGCAACGATGTTTTCCATGAGCATGCCGGAGTTGAACTCAAGCGCGTCAAGGAGTATCCGTTTGTGGATCTGTTCGGCAACGAGCGTCCGAAGCGGGAAGGCGAGACTGATGAGAAGTCCGGTGTCGAGCAGATAGCACTTCAGGGTTGTATGGTCGGTGCTCATTGCCAGCCCGACCGAGGGTTCGGTTGCGTTGAAGCAGATGTTCGCAATCATGGCCTCACGGAGCCAGAGGAAGGAGTCCTCGTACGTGCGCATCTTGGCGTCGGCTTCGAGCGCCGTCAGCCGGAACTTCTTTTCGTGCTTCGAAAGCTGAGAGGGGATGCCGTCAAAGACCAGTTGGATTTTACGGGCCTTCCGCCCTGCGTGCTTTTCAATGTCCTCTCGATAGAGCTTGAGAATGCTGCGCTTGACTTGATCGACGTCTGTGAGACTGCGCGTGTCGATGAAGGCCTGCACGGCCTGCGGCATTCCGCCGACGACAAGATATTCCCTGAACGCATCCATCGCCTTGCGGTGGAGCAGCGGCCCGCACGCTTCCATTTTTTCGTAATGGTCTTTGATGAAGCCCATCAGCGATTCGCGTCCTGTCGCCCAGAGGTACTCTTCGAAGTCCATTGGAAACATCTTGATTCGATCTTCCTCGGAGGGAATGACGATGTCCGTGACGTTTTCGTCAATAGACACAAGCGAGCCAGTCTCGAGGTAATCGTATTGTCCGTCGGCGACGAGGGCCTTGATTGCTTCGCGGGCACGAGGGAATGTCTGGACCTCGTCAAAGATGAAAAGGGTATCTCGCTTGTGGAGCTGGACGTCGTAATGCTCGGAGAGCTTGAGGAAGAAGGTCGGCAGACTTTGCTTTTCGAGATAGTTCCAGAAAAGGTCCTTGACGACCTTTGGCGCCTTGCTGAAATCAATTAGGACGTAGGACCTATATTCGTTTTTGCCGAATTCCTCGGCAATGAAACTCTTGCCAACGCGGCGTGCACCGTCAATGAGCAGGGCGCGACGTCCTGCTGTCTGCCGTTTCCATTCGGCAAGTCGGTCGTAGATCTTTCGTCGCATGAGTTGAAATTGTTATGGAAAAACAGGGCTAATTATAACACTTCTCGGGTTGACGTGCAATAAGGTCATCACCTTTTGACGGGTTTCGCATGAACTGAACTTACACCTTTTGACGGGTTTCGGATGTGGTGAACTTACACCTTTTGACGTGTTTCTGCAGAAAGTCAATGACCATTAAGTGATATTCGCAAATCTCATTAAGTAGTATTTTGGTTTTCAATTGAGCCACATTCAATGTTGAAGTTTCTGATTTTGCGAATTTGAACGGATTCCTCATCGTTTTGCTTCGTTTTCAAATACGGAAAATCTCAGGAGCTCAAGATTGCTCGCACGACCTGTTGCGTTGGCAGTCATAGTCCAATCATCCCCGCCAGTGTCCCGCGGAAGTACGCCCAGGCGATGTCGGGGCGGCGGTTCTTGATCGCCACCGCGCAGTAGTAGACGGCCGAGAGCGGCGCGAAGACGAATGTTACGGACAGGATTTGCAGGAAGGTGAAGTGCTTGCGCGCAAAACGCAGGCGGTTGCGGGCGAAGCAGTAGGTGCGACGGGGACGCTCAATGCCGAGCTGGCGGAGTTCGGGTGCGCAGTCGGCCTCGAGGAACCCGTAGTGGTCGGTGCGCGCGGTCGTGAGAACGTAGCCCTCGTAGCCGGCTTCCATGATCAGCCAGCCGAAGTCGGATTCCTCGAAGGTGACCGTGTACCGCTCGTCGAAGCCGCCCACGAGGTCGAAGACCTTGGTTGGCACCATGAACGCATTCGGATAGTAGCTGGTTGGGTAGAGAGTCGGAGCGGATGGCAGCTGGTTGAGGGGAAGGCTCGGACGGTTGTCCTTGGGCTGGGACGTCCAGCGGTTGAGGTCGCTGCCGAGAGACCAGATGGCGTTTTCTTTCCCGGGTCTCTGATGAATTGCCATCGGAGCGACGAGTCCGACGTTTGGGTGCGCTTCGAAGACCTTCAGGAGCTCTGTGAAGATCTCGGGATGGACGATGTTGTCGTCATCGAGAAAGAAAAGATAGTCGCCGTGTGCGGTCTTGCGTCCGTTGTTGCGCGAGACCGCCTGAAAGGAGTTTCGGTCGTTGCGCAGGTACTTGATGCGCGGGTCCCTGCCGAATGCCGCGGCAATTTGCGCCTTTGTGTCATCGGGCGAGCAATCATCGACGATAATGATCTCAAGCGCGGGATAGCCCGTCGCGAGCACGCTCTTGACGCAATTGCACACCATCTTCGCACGGTTGAAGGTGGGGATGATGACGGAAATGAGCGGAATTGACATTAATAGAAAGTATACCATATTGTAGTGCCTGGTGCTTAGTGCCTAGTGCTTAGTGCGGTTTTCGCCCCGAGCGGGATGATTTCTTGGTTGGGTTGACTATAACGGATAAAATCGCCCCGAACGGGTTGAAATCGCGGAGGGGATTTGGTACCATTTGCTCAAGTTGGGAGCATTGGACATGTTATTGATGAAAGACATCGCGGTTTTGGTGCGAAACGCGCGCAAGGAGCAAAAGGCCACGCAGGTGGAACTGGCGCAATTTGCGAACGTGGGGACGCGTTTCGTCCGTGATGTCGAGGACGGTAAGGAGACTGTTCAGTTCGATAAACTGATGCGGGTTTTGTCGACGCTTGGGCTTAAGGTGGAGATCGCACGATGAAGGCGAGTGAACTGGCCGAGGAGATGTCCGACGAGGGGCATCCCTCGCCGATCTATGCGCGCATCGGCGATGTCATCCGCGGGCAGATCGCACAGGTGAAGGGGCATTGAAATGAAACTGAATGATAAATGGTTTTGGTTCCTGGGCTTTACCGCGGTCTTCGCGGCGCTCGCGGGGTTCGTTTTCTGGGGGACGTGGTCCACTGACTTTGCGCCGGTGATGCCGGACTGTCCGATCGTTCATGGTCCGTTTGACCCAGCGGGGGTCTTGCGCGGTATGTTCGTGAGCGGAAAGTTCGTGCCGGCGGACCTTTGCAAGTTCCTCGGCTCGCCCTACTTCTGGCAGGAGCTCCAGTACGCGCTTGCGCTTTATTGCGCGGCGCTTGGAATGGCGTACTACTGCCGCGGACGCGGACTCTCGCGTCTTGCGGCATACGGTTCGGGGCTGCTGCTGGCATTCAGCGGCTACTGGTGTTCTCTTTTCTCCGCGGGACACCTCGGCTGGTTTCAGTGGATGACTTACGGTGTCTTCGCGTTCGGACTCGCGGACCGTGCGGTGCGAAAAGGCAAGCTCCGCCATTGGCTTCTCCTCGGCACGTGCGTCGCATGGGGGAGTTGCTATCAGGCCGATCTTTGGCTTCTCTTTACGCTTCTGACAGGCGCGTACTTCATCTGGTGCTGCGTCCGCGAACGCAAGTTCCCGTGGAAGGGCGCAATCCTCTCCGCGGCGGTTTTCTTCCTCGTCGGCGCACCGTATATCCGCAGTGCCTTCGTCAACGACCTCGCGGGACGCGACAAGCAAATCGAGGAAGGACAGACGGTTTCGCCGAAGGACGCCGCGTCGGGTGATGAGCGCGAGAAGCGTTGGATCTTCGTGACGAACTGGTCGCTCCCGCCTGCGGAATCCGCAGAGTTCTTCATTCCGCGTTTGAACGGCGACACGAGCTGCCCGATGACGCTCTCGCTCGGGGCGCGCTATGGCACGGGCGTAAAGCAATATACCGGTGCGCTGGGGCGTCCAAAGGATGCGCCCGCTGGAAATTACAGGCAACATTCGCTGTATGTCGGGTTCGTGACGTGCATCCTCGCGCTGCTCGGAGGTTTGATAGGTTTGAGAAGTTTGATAGGTTTGAAAGGTTCAAAGCTCCATTGTACGACTACGCCTTCCGACTACGCCTTTTTCGCGGTTGCCGCCATCCTCTGCTGGCTCTGTTCGATGGGACGGTACTGCGAGCCGGTCTACCGCGTGATCTTCTCGTTGCCGTTTGGCGACTATCTGCGCGCGCCGGTCAAGTGGCACCATCTCACCGAATTTTGCATTTGCGTCTTGGCTGGCTATGGAGTTGAAGGGATTTTAAGCCGATTGGTAGGGCGCGACGTCCTCGGCGCGCCGAAGATAACGAGCCGTTTCGCGCCGTGGATTGTCGGTCTTATTGTTTTGATCGGGGCGATTGACTTGGCGAGGGTCGACCATCTTTATTGTGCGCCGGTCGATTTGCGCGAGGCGAAGCGGCAGAACGCGGGCATGCAGATGACGTTCCTGCGCAAGCAGGATTTCAGCAACCCGCAGGTCGTGGCGATGGTGCAGGCGAAGAAGATTGTCGCACTTGCGCAGCCGAATCCGGAGATGTACCTCGTGGGCGTGCTGGAGCCGCGGGGACCGAGGAAGGACCAGCCGTGGCCGCCGATGGGACTCCCGACGTGGTTGGGGTTGGTTTCGCTGATTGCTTCTTTCGCTGTCGGAATCCTCGCGGCAGGGGCCGTGATTCGTCGTCCGCACGAAGCGTGAAATAAAAGATTATGAGTAAGGCAGACAAGTTATGCGTGGTAATGCCGGTCTACAATGAGCAGGCGGCAATCGGTGCCGTGCTCAAAAAATGGGCGGCGGCGCTGGATCGTCTTCATGTCGACTATACGATGCGTCCGTATGATGACGGATCCAAGGACGATTCCCTTGCCGTCATGAGAATGGTCGCCGAGAAGCTGCCGCGTTTAGAGGTCCGAAACAAACCTAACGGCGGTCATGGTCCCACGATCCTGCAGGGGTATCGCGAGGCGGCTGCAGATGGTTTCGATTGGATTTTCCAGGTTGATTCCGACGATGAGATGGGCCCCGAAAGATTCGGCGAACTGTGGGCGCGCCGTCAGGGCTTCGATTTTCTGGTCGGACGCCGTCAGGGACGTCAGCAGGCGTTGCCGCGAAAAATCGTTTCGTTTGTCTCCCGGCTTGCCGTGCGCATTTTCTATGGCAGGGGCGGGGTGTGGGACGTCAATGCTCCGTATCGGCTCATGCGCGTTTCGCGTTTCGCCGACATATTTCGGGAAATTCAGGAAGATACGTTTGCCCCGAATGTGATCGTCACCGGTCTGGCGGCGCGTTTGGGCCTGAGGTCTTGCGAGATCGACGTCCCCCAGCGTGATCGAACGACAGGCGAAGTCTCGATCAGGAAGTGGGGACTGTTGAAGGCGGCGGCCAAGTCGTTGTGGCAAACGGTTGTCTTCGCCGAGCGGCGCGGCGGATTTCCCCTGGTCTGGTCTTCGGTCGCGGCCGTGCTTTCCCTCGCCGCCAGCCCGTTGGGGGGACGCTCGATGTGGATTGACGAGATCATGCGCGTCCTGGCGCAGAAGAACTATACCGTCGGGCAGCTGTTGGCGTGCAAGCACCTGAAGGACTTCGATTCGCAGTCCCCGGTCGGATATGTCCTTTGGCGTCCCGTACAGGCCCTGCTGGGCATTGAACTGGGCGGTTATCTCCTGAGCGCATTGTCCGCGGCCGTGATCGCATATGTGGCGATACTGGTCGTGCGCCGATGGAAAGACGCGCCGCCGACACCGCTGGCTGCGGCGATCATCGCGCTGAATCCGCTGTTGGTGTATTATGGCGGTGAGCTTTGGTTCTACGGTCCGTGGGCGGCGGCCTTTGCCGTGGCGTTTCTTTCCGTACTGGAAGATCGTCCCTGGCGGATCGCGATCGCGGGCCTGTTTTTCGTGGCGTTCCATTTTGCCGGCATCTTCGTCTGGTTCTTTTTTGCGCTTGTCTGCTGCTGTTGCATCTGGAGGTGGAAGGGGTTCGCCTGTGCCGCCAGGCGGACCATTTGCTTTGCGATTCCCGCCGTGTTGGTCTTGCCGCTTTACCTGAAGGCCCAGTTCGCTGCGGCGCACCTCGATTCGCAAGGCGTTCAGATTTCCCGCCTTTCGACGGTACCGGCGTTTCTTTGGAACTATTTTATCCAGATATTCCCTTCGCTGACCGGCGGATGGTGGTACGGCGTGACGCTGATGACGGTCGGTTTCGTGTGCCTGTTCTGGTCGCGTCGGCGCCTGGAGGCGCTCCTGGCGCTTGCCTCCGCGTTCGGATGGGTGATTTACACGTCCTATACGCATCTTCGCGGCTATCCGTTCGTCGTCGGACGCTTTTGGCTGTTTGCGCTGGCTGCGACGCTGCCGTTGGTGGCGTACGGTTGCGATCGTCTGGTGGTGAAGATCAAGGGTGGATTCATATTTGGATTCCTGATTCTTGCCGCAGATGTCGTCGGAACTCTCGCCGTATTGCAGCAGGACGGCCGTTCGTTGCCGATGCGAAGGTTTGCGAACGAGATTGCCGCCCGTGCGGAATCAGTCGTGTTCCCCAACAATTATGAGGCAAGGCCTTACCGGCAGTCGTATCCGATACCGAATGGGGCTTCGGTGCTGGCGCCTTCGTATTGGGAGCAGGGCGAGAAGGTTCGGGAATGGGGCCTTCGTCTGGTCAGGGCGATTTCTCCGCTGACGCCGGCTTATGTCGGGGGAAACGGAACCGTTGAATTGGCCGAGAGATGCGGTTGGACATCTTCGAATCGCGTCACAGAGGTCCGAACGGGCGTTCAGAAGCTTGCGGTGCTGGCTCACCTCTTTCCCGAACCGAACAACTTCTCCATTAAATCGGAAAATCAAATCATCTTTCCGCTGGAGTCTGAGCTGATCTTCGCGGCAGAATCAAGCGGAATGCCGTTTTTCATGCCGGGCAAGGGATGGCGACTGGAGTCGATGCGCCCTCGCGGCAATGACCAACCCTGCACACCGGTTCTCCTGCTTTCACCTGGCAGGAGCGCGGAACTCAAGGTGTACGTGCCGAAGTCGTTTGCCGGGACGGGCATTGAACTGAAGGGGATGCTTGGCAAAGGCAGGTTGGCTGCCAGGCCTTATTCCGTTCGGCTTGACGCGACTCGAAAGGGACAATATGCGGCGACTTCGCTGGATGGCGGCAAGGATGGGTGCTATTTCCTCGCACCCGAGGTGCGCTGACGTGCCCTCCGTGGTGCGGACAATCAATCGTCCGGGAAATTTGATATAATACCATCTCAATGGCAAGGAAGGTCAAGGATCCGCGTCCGAGCTGGGACGAGTACTTCATGGCGCTGGCGAATGTCGTCGCCTCGCGTTCGAATTGCTCGCGCCGTCACGTCGGCGCGGTGATCGTCAAGAACCGACACATCCTCTCGACCGGCTACAACGGCACCCCGTATAACGTGAAGAACTGCTTCGAAGGGGGATGTCCGCGTTGCTCGGGGAAGACGAAGAGCGGCACGCACCTCGACGAGTGTCTCTGCGTCCACGCCGAGCAGAACGCGATCTGCCAGGCGGCCCAGCACGGCCACGCCATCGACGGGGGAACGGCGTACGTCACGATCTCGCCGTGTCTCACGTGCGCGAAGCTTCTCGTCAACGCCGGCATCAAGGAGGTCGTCTACTCGGGCGAGTACGCCTTTTTGGATACGGTTAAGGACGTGTTTAGGCAAGCAGGGGTCAAACATCGGAAGTTCAAGGGGAATTGTTCGATTGTTTGATTGTTCGGATTGTTCGATTTAGGTAATTCAACCCAATAAGGAGAAAAAATGAGCAGGAAGAAAATCATCGCTGGCAACTGGAAGATGAACGTCAAGCCGTCCGAGACCGCGGCCCTCGTGAAGGGTGTCGCCGAGGCGACCAAGGCGTTCGCGAACGTGGAGATCGTGTGCTGCACGCCGGCGATCGACGTTCCCGCCGCCGTCGCGGCCGCGCAGGGTACGCCCGTCGGCATCGGCACGGAGAACTGCCACTGGGAGGATCACGGCGCGTTCACGGGCGAGATCTCGACGGGCATGATCCTCGATGCGGGCGCCAAGTACGTCATCATCGGCCACAGCGAGCGTCGCCAGTACTTCGGCGAGACGGACGAGACCGTCAACAAGCGCGCGCGCGCCGCGATCGCCGCGGGCCTCACCGCCATCGTGTGCGTCGGCGAGACGCTCGCCGAGCGCGAGGCCGGCAAGCTCAACGAGGTGATCGAGCGCCAGATGAACGTCGGTCTCAAGGACGTCACGGCGGCCGATTGCGCGAAGCTCGTCATTGCCTATGAGCCCGTGTGGGCCATCGGCACCGGCAAGACCGCGACGCCCGACCAGGCGCAGGAGGTCCACGCGCTCATCCGCGCGACCCTCGCGAAGCTCGTCGGCGCCGAGACGGCCGAGACCGTCCGCATCCAGTACGGCGGCTCGATGAAGCCGGGCAATGCCGCAGAACTCCTCGCGAAGAAGGACATCGACGGCGGCCTCATCGGCGGCGCGGCCCTTAAGGCGGCGGACTTCGCCGGAATCATTCAGGCCGCTGCGCAGGCCTGAATGAAGGTTTTAGAAGTTTGAGAGGTTTGAGAAGTTTGAGAGGCAGTCGGATGAAACATTCGATTATTCGATTATTCGGTTATTCGATTATTGTCCTTCTTTCCGGCTGCTTTAACGAGCCGGAGCCGGCGTACAAGTCGGTTCCGGCCGAGAACCGCGTCTACCTGAACGACAAGGGGCTGAAGGATCTTAAGTCTTGCGCTGCGCTTGCAAGCGGAAAGGATTCCGCTTCTCCGCTTGGGATCGACTACGTGAACCTGGATCGCAACCAGCTGACGAATGTCAACGAGGGTGGCGAATCTGACGGGGCTCAAGTGGCTCCGTCTGAACGACAACAAGCTCGCGACGCTGCCCGACCTGAAGGCGCTCGTCAATCTCCGCCGCATTTACCTCCGGAACAACAAGTTCGCGGCGGTTCCGGAGACGCTGAAGGATTTGCCGTCCCTGACGGACATCGATCTTTCGGGTAATCCGCTCAAGGAGGTGCCGCAGTGGCTTGCGGAGAAGAAGGGGCTCAAGAATCTCTCCTTCTCGCGGACGCAGATCGTGAAGCTTCCGGAGAATCTCGAGGCGTGGAAGGATCTCCAGTGCCTGCAGCTCGGAGATCTCAACATCTCCGCGGCGGAAATGGCGCGAATCCGAAGTGCGCTCCCGAATGTCGCGATCGTCTTCTAACAACCTCGAAGAGCTGGCGTCCGGGAAACTCGGACGCCTTCTTCTTAAGTACTCATGGCCCGTTCGGGCTCTCGGTGTTCACGCGCGCAGAAGAAATTCTGCGGGGACAGACCCTTTGAAAACGCACACAGGCTTGGGTTTCATGTGAAGTTGTCGAATAATGGGAGTCGCCAAAACGGATAGATGTCCGCTTTGGTATTGACCAAAACGGATATGTATCCGCTTTGGTATTGACCGTGACGGTTGGAATGTGATAGAATTTGCGGCATGGAAACGAAGTCCTATCGGCGGATATACGAGACAATACTGGCGAATCATATCGGCAAGTATCGGCAGATGGTCTTGCTTTCGGGACCGCGCCAAGTCGGGAAGACGACGCTCGGCGAGACGTTGTCCGGTATTTGCCTGAACTGGGACGACGATGATGTGAAGCGTACGATCATGTCCGGACAGTCCGAGACGGTGAAACGATACGGACTCGCCGGGATGTCCGAGACCGACAAGGTGGTCGTGTTCGATGAAATCCACAAGTACACGCGGTGGAAGCAATTTCTGAAGGGCTTCTACGATGTTTACGGGAGGAATGTCCGGATCGTCGCCACAGGATCGGCGAAGATGGATGTCTACAAGAAGGGCGGAGACAGCATGATGGGGCGTTATTTCCCCTACCGCATGCATCCGCTTTCTGTCGCGGAACTCCTGGATGTGACGATTCCGGGCGAGGGACTTGTTCGCAGTCCCCGCGAGCTTGCGAAGGACGAATGGGATGCGCTGGTGCGGTTTGGCGGCTTCCCTGATCCGTTTGTGAAGCGGGATGTGCGGTTTTCGCGTCGGTGGCAGTCCCTTCGCTTTGAACAGCTGACGCGAATTGATGTCCGGGATCTCACCCGTGTTGCGGAGCTTGACCAGCTTGCGGCCCTGGCGCGGATTCTGTCCCTTAGGTCTGGGGAGCAGTTGGTTTACAAGAATCTCGGCAATGAAGTCGGCGTGGACGAGAAGACGGTGAAGAAATGGGTCAAGACGCTGAAGGGGCTCTATTTCGGCTTCGAGGTGCGCCCGTGGTTTAGGAATGTCGAGAACTCAATCCGTAAGACGCCGAAGTGGTTCGTCCGCGACTGGTCAATGGTCGAGGATGTCGGCAAAAGGGCCGAGACGATGGTCGCCTGCCATCTGCTGAAGGCGGTCGAGTGCTGGACGGATCTCGGTTTCGGCGAGTTCACCCTTAACTATCTTCGGAACAAGCGTAAGCAGGAGGTCGACTTTATCGTTGCCCGTGACAATGTCCCATGGTTCCTGGTTGAGGTCAAGAATTCGGAAGAGACCCTGTCGGATGCCCTTGACCTCTATCAGAGGCAGACAGGGGCGAAGCATGCCTTCCAGGTCGTGTTGGAGTCCGAGTACGTCAACCGCAGTTGCTTTGACTACACCACGCCGGTCGTCGTGCCGGCGAAGACCTTCCTCAGTCAGCTGGTATGACGAAGTGAATGGACGTTTTTGATTCTTTTTTGGCGAGGAAAGATGAGACCCGGCGGGGATAATCTGAAGGAACTGGCCGAAGGTCGGCTGGGGCGGCTCCTGATCAAGTACTCGTGGCCCGCTTTGGTGGCGATGAGTCTTAACGCGCTCTACGCCGTCGTCGACAGGTTCTACATCGGACAGGGATGCGGCGAGGCCGCCATGGCGGGTCTCACGCTCACGTTCCCCGTGATGATGCTCTTCGGCGCGTTCGGCGTCTTCGTCGGTGCGGGACACGCCTCGGTTCTTTCCATCAAGCTCGGCGAGAACGATTTCATCGGATGCGAGAAGATCGTCGGGGAACTCATCGCCCTGAAGCTCCTCTTCTTCTTCATCCTGCCGCCGCTTGTCTTCTTCAACGTCGACACGGTCCTCAACTGGTGCGGCGGCGCGAAGGTCTCGGCCGAGGCGTTCGATGCGGCACGTGTTTATCTCAAAATCGTCGTCTTCTCGCACATCTTCTCGCATCTCGCGTTCGGGCTCTCGGCGCTGACGCGTGCGGAAGGGGGTGCGGTCAAGTCGATGATGTCCCTCGTCGTCGGATTCGGAACCAACTTGATTCTCGATCCGCTTCTCATTTTCGGAATAAATCTAACGATTCCACTCTACACCTACACCTTCCATCTACACCTCCCCGCCCTCGGCATCGAGGGCGCGGCCTGGGCGACCGTCATCGCGATGGCGGCGAGCTTCCTGTGGGCGCTCCGGTATTATCTCACGGGCGGTACGGTCGTGCTCCTGCGCTGGTGGCGGATCGGCTTCTACCGCGAGTACGTCTGGCGGACGACGGCGATCGGCTTTGCGCCGTTCCTGCAGAACCTCCTTGGCGCGGCGATCAACGTGTCGCTCGCGGCGGCGTTCGCGAAGTGGGCGGCGGACGAGGCGAGCGCGACGACGCAGATTGCCTCGCTCGGCGTCTTCCAGAGCGTGATGATCCTGACGATCATGCCGGTCATGGGTGCGCAGCAGGGGCTTCAGCCGATCTTCGGCTACAACTGGGGCGCGCGCAATTACCGTCGGGTGAAGGATACGCTCGTCCTCGGCTATTGGGTGACGACGGCGCTCTGCGTCCTCGCTTGCGCGGTGCAGGTCATTCCGCCGTTCCCACGACTCCTTGCGTCGATGTTCGTCCCTTCGGACAATTCGACGTTGCTCGGAATCGCGGCGCACGACCTGACGGTCTCGAACTGCATGATCTGGACGATCGGAATCAACGTGGTGGCGACGACGTACTTCCAGTCCATCGGGCATCCGTGGACGGCGGTCGTCCTCTCCACGCTCCGGCAGGGCGTGATCCTTATTCCGTGCATCTGGATCTTGCCGCATTTTATGGCGAACCATACGCTCGCGATCTGGCTGGCGCTCCCGATCTCGGACATCCTCTGCCAGCTCGCGACGGTCCCGCCGTTCTTCCTCCACCTCCGCTTCCTCTCCCGCGTCCGCGACCGCAGCACTGTCCTGCAGTGATGCTTCTGTCTGCGGGAAACGGTTGCGGGCGTATGATTCCACTCTCGCTTCGCTTGTCGGAAAAGCTCGGGGATGCGACATCGATTTTCTCTGCTGTTCATTTCGCCCTTGAGAGCTGTTACCGTGTCACGCGGGCGAAATGCCATCTCCGAAAATCGGGTCGCTCACCGGCTTTTCCGAACGTTCCATCAGGCCCGAACCGCTTTCCGCGGCCACTCGCATCACAAATGAAATTTGATATCCGATTTCATTTTGTAGCGGAGGAACGGGATGCCGCGATTCGCGACTGATGAAGCGGTGGCGAAAACGAGGGAGCGGCCCATGTTTCGAACGGTTCGTTAGGACCCGCCGACAAACGAAACGCTGGTAAACGGGAGGCGGGTCTGCGACACCGTGAGAAATTTGTGGCCGCACCCCGAAGTTTTCGCCAATTGCGAAGCAATAGCGGAATCCGGAGCGAATCGCGGCAACCTGGCCCGGAGCTACTGCAGGACAGAGAAGATCGGATGGGGTGACCCCCACTTGATTTTCACGGGGGAGATGTGATATACTACACACCGTTTTCAACCCAGTCGGAGCGTAGCGCAGCCTGGTAGCGCGTTTGCTTCGGGAGCAAAAGGCCGAGGGTTCAAATCCCTCCGCTCCGACCAACTTGAAAGTACGTTCCACCATTGATTTTATTGGGTGAAACGCATTTTTTGTCCTTGTAAAATCGTGTGCAATTTTCCACTGTTTTTCGTTGTTTTTAATGGTTGCTTGCGTTGCAAATTATTGAAAAGATCCATCCGATTCAGGCGGAGGGTTTTCCGCCCTCGGTGTTTTGATTTTCTTCAAAAAGATTTTTAAGGCCGCCGAACATGGCGTCCATAAATGCCTCTCTTTCGGCTTCGAGGTATTCTGCCTCCTCTTTTGTTGGAGTCAGCCATTTGATCGGCTTTTCTTTCTTGCTTTCAAATCTCATTGCAATACTCCGTGATGGATAGATCGTCCTCCGTGAGATTGTAATGCGCGAGATAGTCGCGGTACGACTGCTCCAGCGCATCAGGATTTTGCTCGTAGTAGATTTCGTCGTAGATACTCATTACTTCAACCTCAGCTTCTCCACCGGCACGTAGTGGTCGAACAGGACGCTCGGCGAGTTGCCGAGGAGCTTCGTCGCGTAGAGCGGACCATGCTTCTCGGTGTTGAACTTGCCGCACTCCTTACGGAGCATATAGGTCGTCCCGAAGCCCTTGACGCCGACCTCGTTGCGCATAAACGAACCGACCCACCGCTCCAGCGTCTTGAAGTTGCGGACATAGCGGCCTGTCATCGTGTTGCCTCTGCTCATATTGTCGCGGTGCAGGAGCACATATTCGCCATGCTTGCCGATGAGCGGCAGAAGCTCTGACAGTAACGCAGGATGGATTGGACATCCAGCAGGACGCTCGTGCGTCTTCCGCGCGGTCTTGGTCGGCACATACTCGAAGTAGTAGCCGCCGAGCGCGTCCTTCTTCACGGATTCCCACTTGAGCTTGTGTATGTCGCACGGGCGGCAGCCGAAGTAGAGGCCGAAGAAGAGGCGCATATAGTGGTTGTAGTCCATGATGCGCTTGGACTTTGAAAGTTCCGCCATCTTGTCCTTGATTATCTTGACCTGTGCGTAGGACAGCGTCTCGACGATTTGCTTCTTTCCTGAGAAGTCTACTGTCGGGATATAGTCGCAATCCGGCGGGACGAGTCCGCGCTTCTTGTAGGCAAGCCGAATCTCCTTGCAGGTGCATCCGGCGGCGGCTCGGTAGCGTCCGAAGTAGTAGTCGATTGTCGCCGGGTCGTAGCCGCCCTCATGCGCGAAGGGGTGCGTGCCGTTCGTGAGGCGGGCGTATACCAGTTCCCACTCGTTCATCGTCAGCTCGGCGCGATCCTCGAACTTGAGTCCGGCGAGTTGTGCGATGCGCTTCAGGGCGAACTCCGTCCTCTCCTTCGTCATCTCGTCGCACTTGGCGACGGAGGCGTAGACTTCGTACATCTTGGCGAACGAGGGCGTCTCGTTCTCGTTCGTGTTGGCGAGCTCGCACTTTCCGTCGTAGACGAGGTGCGTGCACACCTCCCCGTTGAGGCGGCAGCGGTCTCCGAGGCAGTTCTTGCACTTCATTGTCCGTTTCCCTCCATAGCGCGGATTAGCTTGTTGCCGAAGTTCTGGATGCGCGGCGTGTCGCGGTCCTAGTACTTCGCGTCAATGCGCATGGTGGCGTTGCCATCCGCGTCGGGGCGAATCCAGACGGTGATCTTCATTGCGCATCCTCCTTCTTTTCAAACTCCATATTGCAACACTCGTGGTTCTCCGGAACTCCGGGATCGAATATCGGCTCCTTGATGCAGTCGATGATTTTGCCATCCTTCCATACGGCGTTCTTGCAGTCGTCTCACTTCATCGCACCGCCTCCTTCTCGCGGTAGGCGCGGATGATTTTACCGACTGTATTGTCGGCTTCTTCGCAGTCAATTAGTTGGTATATTTTCTCTATGCACAGCTCCGCCTCCGCGAGACGCTTAGCCGTCACCTCGTCGCACTTGTTCATGCGCTCCTGCTCCAGCTTCGCCTTCAGCTCGTCGCGCTCCTTGACTACGGCACATTCTCCGCACATTTCGGCGCGGCACTTCTGGCAATCGTCTTCGATGCCAAATTCCGATTCTAACGCATACCACGATTCGAGAAGTGCGTGCGCCTTTTCGCTTATATCTTTGAATGCCTTTGCCGCATCTGGGAACGCAATCTCGCATCCTTTGGAGAATCCCTCTATTTCGCAGATCGGCATAGCCATCTTGAGATGAGTCTTGATGTCGATTGCGATCACCTTGTTGTTGTCAGCCATTTCGGTTGCCCTCCTTGTGTTTCCTGTTTTTATTCTTCCAATCCTCGTATTCCTGCATTTCATTCGACCACGGGCAGTCCTCGCAGACGAGCATCGTGATAGGCGAGTTCTCGCCGTACTCCATAGCCGTCTCGCAGTAGTGGCGGCACGGCTTAAGCACGCGCATTCTCCTTAATTTCAGCTTCAGCCGCGTCTATCACATCGTTGCACAAGTTGAGAACGCGATCCGGCGCACCGAAGTAAAGAACTTTCGCCGTTCGATTCAAGTCATTGTATGTCTCTGTCAATTTCTCGTCGGTCATCGTTGGAATGAGCGCCTTTACTTTTCTAAGCCGTCCTGTAAATGTCATTTGCCTTCCTCCTTCTCGAAGTGGATCCTGAAATACTCGCCGTCCCATCCGTCGTACGGGCACGGCCCGATGTCGATCTTCACGATGCGGCGCACGATGTCAGGGTAAGCGCAGTTGTGTCCTCCATAGCCGAGACGGAATACCGCATACCAATTCTTCGCGCTGATTCCGTCGTTTAGTTCAAGGATGCACTTTTCAAGACGCTTTCGCCAATAATCCTTTACTTGACGGTATTCGATAAGTTTAGTCCCCTTTGCTATCTCCGTATACCACGGCCATTTAAGGTTGAAGATGATGCGCTTCACGATTCGCCTCCTTTTGTGCCGATTGTAGTCGCAGACATTGAGACGGCTCCTAACTTGAACTGGCAGTCTTCTTTACAGTCGCATCCGCCAGTTGTCTGATGCTCGCATTGAATTGCGCCAATAACTCCGCATTGCGCGCTCATTTCTCGCCTCCCTCCGCGACCTGGGCCTTCGCGCCTTCCAGCACCTTGCGCCACCTATGTTCTGCGCAAAATCCTTCAACCTCACACGCCTTGCCTTTGCTTTTGCATGTCGCGCAGTTATAATCTATCGCCTCCTTCAGGCACTTGCGCAGTTTCGCCATCTCGCCTTTCAGCGTCTTGATCTCCTCGTCCTGCGCCTTGATGCGCTCGTCCTTGTAGTCGTCCGTGTGCCGCGCCCTCTCCGCGTCAATGGCGAGCTGGAGTTCCGCCTTCTCGCGCCGCCACGCGGACTCGATTCGGTCGGCTAGAGATGTGAATGACGGCATTTCGTCAGTCGGCAGCTCCTCTCCTTTTGCAAACCTGCGAAGCATCGCAACGATGTCATCGACCGTCTCGTTCTCACTTGCCATCTTCAATCCTCCTCAAATCATCCTTGAGTTCATTGATAGACCTTCCGAGACGGATGTAGTCGGCCTTCGCGCTCTTGTAGTCGCGGTAATTCTGAAGCGACTCCTTGCGCCGAGACTTCATCAATTCTTTCATTTGCGCCCTCGCGTTTCCGAGTTCGTTTATTCGCCTGTTGATTGCTATGATCGTGGTCTCACTTGCCATCTTCGGCTCCTTCCTCCGCGATCTTAATCGCAGACTTGAACTCCTTGCTATTCTTAAGAACGAATTTTGCCAATGACAGACAGCTCTGGCACGTTATTCTGCGTGATGTTGTCTTCATCGCCGGACAGAGATCGTTTTCAATCTCATCATTCTTGAAACTTTTTCCGTCTCTCGGAATTTGATTCGAACAATCAAGTCCGCACACGGTGTATGAGTCTGGCGAATTGCTGATTTCATTTCCGTCTGCATGTACAAGTCCTGTACGAATCTCAAGTAGTTTTCGCATTATCCGCTCCTTCCTCCGCGATCGCGCGGCAATTCACGGCACAATGAAACGAGTCGTACACATTCGGCTTGCCATTCGCATCGAATTGGAGCTTCACCAGCTCCGCGACGATGCGCTGGGCCTTGCGCAATATATTCTCGTCTTCCCTGCTAATTCTTCTGCTTGCAAAGAATGCCATCTCATCGAGCCGTTCCGCCAGCTCCGCCAGCGCGTTAGTGCTTCGTTCCATCGGTAACCTCCTCTCCTGATGCTTTCGCAAGAGCATCATGCCACTTTGCTACAAAGCACTTTTCCTTGTTGCATTCCTTCCTGTCTCCGTCTTTGCCGGGGCAGTTGTGGCAGTATTCGACGACGGCCTCTCGCAAGCATTTGTAAAGTTCCGGCGCGGCAGCCAGCATACGAGCATCGGGCAGTTTGGGCGGGTACACGCCGCTGTCGGTTTCAACGATGGTTTCGCCGTTCGCGTCCTCTATGCCGTCCACGCGGTTTTTGTCCCAGTGCAAAATACGCGCAAACCACGGCGCGGGACTGATGCCGAGTTCTTCCAGTTTCTTCATTTCTCTCCTTTCCCCGCGCGGCGGTTCCACGCGGCGATTTTCTGCCTCTTGCTCCTGTAATCCCTGAATCCGAGACACCATTTCTTGCCATCGCAGGAATTGCGCTGTCTGCACTTTCCGCACGGCTTCAGCTCACTTGCATTCATCTCTCGCTCCTTTCAGTATGTAGTTGTAGTCTTCGTCGCTGATTCCGTATGGATCCGCGTGGCGCTCCTCGCACCTCTCGACCATCGCGGCGAAGGACAGAAGGGCTTTGCGAATCTCTACGTTCTTAGAAGAATCGAAGACGAGATCAAAGTCTACAAACTCTTTCCCGACTGCATAATCTCCTTTGAAAGACAAATCTTTCGCGAGCCTCCTGATTTCGTCCGCGCTCATTTCCTTGCACCTTTCCTGCAAGAACATTCGATTCCGCAAATTCCATCGCAATAGGTGCGGCAGTCATTTTTGCCGAAATCAACCTTCTTGTCTATGTACTTCAAAACATGGTAAGCGACAAGTGCCAGGCCACTAACGACGAACGGAAACATAGTCATTCTCCTTTCTTTTTAGTATTCATTCTCTTCGCCTTCATCTCCTTGCGCTCCTCATCGGCCGCGAGTTCCAGCGCGTCGCGGAGAGGGCATTCGACTTTACCTGAATTGCAGTCGCAGTCCGCTCCGGCTTTGTGAATCGGACATCTCCATTCGCTCTGGCACACCCTCCGCACGACGGCGGCTATCTCGCGCTTAGTCATTTAGCACCTCCATTCATGATTGTCACGGCTTCAACCCAGTTTGAAGCGGCGATGTGATGGTCTACGAGCCTGATACCGGCCTTCTGGAGGCGGTTGTTAAAGTCCCGCGCCATCATCCACCAGCCGACAACCATCCCAGTGAAGAACAGGACGACTGGAATTGCAAAGTATTTTGCGCAGTCGTTCATTCCGCACCTCCCTCGCCGCGAGCCGCGCGGAGAATGCGATTCAGGATTCCTTTAGCCGCAAGGACTTCATTCATCCTAAACTTTTCTTCGTTGATTTTCTCGCACTCCTTCACGACCGCCTCCAGCCGCGCCTTGAGTTGCGCGTTCTCCCTTTGGAGACTAATGCACTCATCCGTGACTGAACAAGCAGGACAGTTCTTGTTACACTTGACATCATTGTATTCGCTCATTTCGATTCTCTTTTAGTTTTAAGGCAGTCGCTCTCGTCGCAGTATTCGCCGCGAGGGCATCCTACACAGTTCGCCTTGAATGGACAAGATTCGCATTTAGCATTCACGTCGCCCCTCCTTTCTCCGCCTCCGCGAGAAGGCGCTCGATTTCTGTCACCTTGTGATAGTCGCTATCCTTTCCGATCGCAACCGTCTTTACCGCGTTCTCCAGCCTCCTCATCCTCACGTAGTCGCGCAGGACGGCGGCGATTTCTCGAAAACGAACCTCAGACTCCTTACTCTCGTTAACAACCTCTTTCGGAATGCAGCTTAATTCTTCATCTGTGTAGACGAATGAATCGGCTATTTCGTCCATGGTCTTAGCGAAATAGGCGATCTCCTCGTCCGTCAGCCGCGACGAAACGGACGCGGGGGTTGTGGGTGTGTTAGGCATTAGAGTCCTCGCTTTCGTTGAATTTAATCCCGATAACCGACCTGATAATTTCAAGCCGCTCAAGTCCGTTGCTATCAATCATCACTTCACCTCGCTTTCATTTGCCGCCCTGACGGCGCGAGCCACGCGGTTGTGTGCGGAGATAACCTTATTTCTGTCGCTATCCATAATGGACTCGTAGTTGCAACTGGTGCACTTTACCCTGTGATTGACCGCCCCTATCACATTGCACTCGCCGTGGCAGAACGGGCAATTCTCCGGCCTCTCCTCCGCTTCGAGGGCGAGCCAATGAGCAAAGCAAACCCAATGGCTTGCAATCTTGCTCAACTTACAAGAATGACATTCGCCACCGACTCGAATATCAGTACACCAGTCTTCAAACGCCTTGACGCGCTCCTCGGCGGTTTTGTAACGCATTTCGTTTGTAATCTTATTCATTGTCTTCTCCTTCGCTTTCGTTGTCGTTAACTCGTTTCGCCGGATTCCTCCTGCAACCTCCGCCAAAGCACTGCCCTTGGTTATTCTCTGGGCACGAGTAGAACTGGCACGGGTGGTCGCTCATCTCGCACACCTCCGCCTGCACAAGTCCTCGTGCTCCGCGATGCCGTCGATCCGTCCGTCTCTGTGTCCGAGCGCGTAGGAAACCGCGCAGAGGACGAGGACACAGATGGACGCGAGGGTGTAAAATGTTGTCATTTCGAGACTCCTTTGTTATTCTGAATCTCGCGCTTTCTGGATATGATTCGCTTGACGGTTTCCGGATCACAGATTTCATTGACAGCCTGCTCAAGCGCGTCAAGATTGCGAAGCAATCTATTCGTCATACTCATTTTTGTCTCCTTAAAATGATTTGCGATGTTCCAATTTGCCCCGTATGCGGCCGGGGCCACGCCGACATCATGTCGAAATGAAGGCAGTCTTGCGACTTACTTCTTGCACTTGCCACCGCACTTCTTCGCGGGTTTCGCGACGGGCTTCACCGCCTGCTTCTTCACGGGCTTCTTCATTCTGATCACCTCCTTTCTCACTTTTCAGTTTGTGATTCAAGTTCCTTGAGCTTGCGCTCGATGTCTGACGCAGTTTCACCGACACGAGGGCGGAAGATCGCCATTTCGCCATTGTGATTGACGGTTACGGCGCGGATGCCCTTGCGCTTCAGCCGCTCAATCTCATTGACAATCCACCCGCGGTTGGTCGCGCAGTTCATGAATCCACTATGTCCGCACGTTGATTCCGGTGTAAGCCATTCCGTCACGCGCAGTTCGTCGAGATCGTGCAGCGCGTCTTCGGTTCTTTTGCTGTCATTGTTTTCCTTGTTCATATTGTCTCCTTTATTTATTGTCTTGTTTCTTTGGAGGTTTGGGCATTTCAATTCTCTTTGGATTCAGCCGCTCCGGTTTCAAATGCGGCTTGAACGATGAGAGGCCGTGTTCGGTCTTCCAGAATTGGAGCGCCTCATAGGCAATCCATCGCGCCATTTGCTCGCGCCCCTCGAAGAACTTGACCTGAACTCCTGTATAGGCCTCCAAGTCGAAGATCATCCCCATGATGTTGTGCGGAGGAACGGTGGACTTATACCAATGCGATTCAAGGCGGGAACGCGGCTCCTCGCAGCAGAGGCACTTGAACTTGAAGTCGCGCATGGCGAGGAGTTCTTCGGTCAACTTGTCGCGGCGATAACGCTTTACGCCGGTCGATTGAATTTCAGAGCCAAGAAGCGAACCGACGAGATCTTCAAGGGATTTACGCTCGATAGCAAAGCGATTTGTCAGTCCGACAATTGAGTAATCGCCTGGATAAATCTTCTGACGGACCGTCGGTACGGTATTCGGGAACTGAAGCGGTGTCTGCTCGTTGGAGTCTATGACGATGCAAAACGGCACCGGGGCTGCAAGCTCTGCGTGGATGGTTGCAAGAACTGTCGGGTTGAGCTTCACCTGTCGTACCACCTTTCCTCGTCCACTTCCTGCGAAGGAATGCCGTTTGATTTGATGATTGTGAAATTCCTACCGCGTCCACCATTACTCTTCTTTTCGCACACAATGCCGTAACGCTCGGAGTTGTCTCGCATGAACTTGAACGCCGTGCGGAATGCCGTATGATTCATAATATGAAGCTGATCGACGATAACGCTTTCGACATCACTACTTGCGGTGGGGCGATCAATGAGTGCTTCCGCGATAAAACGTGCGTTCTGCTCGTCATTCGCGCGTTCCTCGGTTTTCTTTCCTTTCTTGCAGAGATTTTCAATCGTATCAACGCACTCTTGGTACTCGTCGCCTTCAACAAGCTTCCAGAAGTGACGGCGCCCCGTGCCTCCGCAGGAATCACCATCATCCCATTTGAGGAAGATGCGACGCGCACCCTCAACCGTGGGCCATCCGAGACCGCCTCCGTTCTTGCCGGCGGTCAGCATAACGAATCCTTCCATCTTCGGGATCTTCATCATCGTAATGAACGAGCGGCCCCAGTTCGTCGTATAGGATGCTCCGCACGCCTTGTACTCGGGCATATCCGACATGATCCACGACGCAAGCTCCTTGTCCGTCGGCGGTTTCCCAGTATGGTGGACAACGAGAAGTCCGATGTTGAAGTCGCGGATAATCGAGCGCAATCCTTCTGTGCGCTTGCCGGCGAGCAGGCCTCCAGACAGAAACGCCGTCACATCCGGATTGGAAGAGACATCCGCGCCGAGGTAATCCATGAACGGATTGATGATAATAGCGTCCGGAAGGTCGCCGTCGTCCTTTGCGGATGTGAGTTCGATGCGAAGCTGCTCAAGGAACGCAGGGCCCGTAAGCCCCGTGAAGTCAACGGTTTCAAGGTTGTTGGCGGTTTCGCGCCAGTCAATTTGCGAAAACTCGGCGTGTTCCGCCCACATGTCAGCAAGGCCTTCGCTGATGTCATTGCGGTCAATCGCCACGCGGCGGTCGCTGTCCTCCGATTGTATGAGCCAGAACTTCAACGGGTTCCACGACTGCAGGCCGCTGAACGGAACACCGTGCATGAGCGAGATCGCGAATTGAGTCACCCAAATTGATTTACCTGTTCCGGCTGTGGAGACAATGAATGCCGACCCGCCGCGTTCAAGCCATGCGCCGCGAATAAGTATGTTATCATCATCCTTTTCGGGAAGAGGGTCTGGATATGCGCCGAGTTTCTTGCGGCGTCCGTGCGATTTTGCGACGGCCTTGGAAATATCCTTAACGATCAGAGATTCATTGCTTTCGCCGCTTTCCTTGGCCTTTGCAACAGATTCTTTATACTTTTTAAGTCCTTCAACATCGTCTCCGTAAATGCACTCAAGAACATCATCAGAAATCGTCTCATTCTGATTTTCCGCGTTCTTCATGAGCGCGTTCAATTCGGGTATTACCTTATCGTCAATCTTTGATACGTCCAGCTTCATTTTTTTTTCAATAAATTATTCTTTAATTTCTCCATCTCTTCCTGTGCAATGCGCGCGTTCTCTTTAATTTCATTGCCTATTTTTACTATCTGTTTGTCAAGCCAGCCATCATTTGTCGTGAATAGATTATGGTATTTGAAGCCACTGCCGAAGTCATGACGGCCAAGGATAAACAGCGTAGTCGGACAAATGCAATTCCACGGTGTTTCCTTTATGATGCGTTTCTTCAGGTTCTTTATTGCATCGTTCCATGGAATCTGCGGGTATCCGCCAAACACGAATATTACGACGGTCAGTGAGAATGCGTCCACAAGAGGAGAGACGCTGAATCGAGGACGCTTCGGATTCGGTGGAGGTGGAGGCATCGGCAACGGCGGCGGACACCGCCTCACACCACCACCAGCCGTGGAGTACGCGCATCTCGGTGGAGGTGGCGGCATCCTTCGTGCTGGCGGCGGTGGAGGCGGCATCCGCATGGTCGTTACGATTATCAAGCATTTGGATTAGAAGTTTCCATTCCACGCGTCAATGCACTTCTTCCAGTCCTCTGACGTGAAGGAGGCATAATCGGCGGGCTCCTTGCCGGTCAACTGCTTGACGAGACCCCAATACTTCGAGCCGTCCGGATCGTTTTTGGTGCAGTTCTTCTCATAAGCGTTCCACGAATCCTCGCCCGTGTATTCCTTGTTGGAATCAGCGGACGGAGCGGCAGGAGGAGCCGGAGGCGTCGGCGGCTTCGGAGAGGACGGATTCGTCGCAGGTTCCGACACGGCAGCGGCGGCTTTTACGGCCTTCTTCACCCTCGCCCCGATCTTAAATCCACTGGCCTTCAGCGACGCGCCGAAGTTATTGTCGAAATCGTCGAGCGAAACCGAGGATCCTCCGGCGGCGTAGAGAACTGCGTCGTGAGCAATCTTCGTCTCATGCGTGTTCTTGTCCTCGTACTCACGATTCGTCAGCTTCGCACGGCACGGCGCTTCTTTGCAAACTCCGTCTGTGAACCACGCGAAAGCGTCCTTCATCGTGGCATTGTCTGGAAGCTGCTCGATGTACTCAGCCCACGCGGGGAACACCTTTTTCGCGTAGTCGATCGCGGATGAGGTGTCGGCCGACGTTGCCTTGCGGACGACGTTCTTGTTCGTCGCCTTGTCGTAGAATCCGAAGTCCTCGCCGACCTTGTAGACGAGAGGGAGCTCCGCGAAGTAGGTCTCGGCCTCCTCGTCGTCGGCAGGGCGCACGGCGATGGAGAGTATGAAGTGCTTGGAGCAGTCCTTGCCCCACGTCTTCTCCTGGCGCTTGACGTAGCCCGTGAGAATGCAGTCGTAGGTTCCGTCGGTGACGTTGTGCTTTGTGTTTTCAGTAGCCATTTTGTATTGCCTTGTTGATATGTTGATTGGATTGTTGATTACTTGATGCCGAGGATCGCGTTGATGTCGAAGTCCTCGTAGTAGCCGAAGCACCAACCTCGGCGAGACTTGGATACAACTCCGTCAAACTCACTGGCGTGATCCTCGTCGGGCTGGCCGAGGACGATGATCTTTCCTGTCTTGGTCTTGTGCGCATCGTCCTTCTGCAAGGTTTCCCACTTGAAGAACAACACCTCTCCATGCCACTCGACGGCGCGTTCGCGGTTCGACTTGTCTGCGTTCTTCTTGGACTCCGAGAGGCGCGGCCCGTGCTTGGTGTCGCCGCCGCCGCTGGCGTCCTCCTTCTCCTTCTCGATGTCGTGGCAGAGGTTCACGATGTGGATTCCACGCTTGATGACAGAGGTCATGGCGTCCTCCAGCTCAAACCAAAGCGAACACTTCGCGGCCTGTTCGCCGCCGCCTCCGAGCTGGCGTCCGTCCTTCAGCGGCACGGCGTTCGGCTTGTCGCTGAAGCAGATCATACCGTAGCCCTCAGGAGCTTTCGTGGCATGGGTGCTGATGTAGCCCCACATCATTTTCTCTGCGGTCGTGAGAGAGTCAATGACAACCGCGCCGTACTTGTTCACCTTGTCCGAGCGAAGGACGGAAAGCAGGGTCTCCCAGTCCTTCGGCTCGATTGCGACGATGTTCTCCGGCATTTCGTCGAAGAGGTCGGGGAGCGTTCCTTCGAGGTCGATGTAGAGCGTCTTGGCCTTGATCTTGGTTGCAGTCGTGGACTTGCGGACGCCCGGCTCCCCGTAGATGAGGATGCGGCGTCCGCGCTTGGCGATTGCTTCGACGAGTGTTGTCGTTCCTTTTGGCGTTTCCTTCGTCTCGCTTGCCGTAGGTGCCGGCGGCTTGGGTGGATTGGGCATTTTTGGATTCCTTTCTCTTATTAGGATTAGATGTTAATTAGATTGTGATGACATGCTCATAGCGCGTCGGCCATGTTTCGGTTCTGCGGCAGGTCTTCAACTCGGAAATCATTGCGTTGTTGTCGTCGCGCCATGTCTCGCTTCCCATGTGCCCCTCGTTGAGGTCGCTGATGGTGCTTTCGCTGATGTGAACGACGGCGACGCGGAAGGGCTCGCGCTTCTCGACGGCGACGAGCCAGCACTTGACTGGCGCGTCATATCCGGCGAGCTTCAGCGCATTCGCATAGAACGCGAGCTGGTAGCAGTAGCCGAAGTCGCGGATGTCGAAGCGGAAGCGGTCGATGTCGTTGCAGGTCTTGAAATCCACGAGGTTTCCATTATCTGCGTCAAACCAGTCAAACCGAGACTGAACCGGAACTCCGTCCCACGACACGCGCACGGTTCCCTCGGCGAATCCGTCCGCGAGAAGATCCTTTGCGACTTGGTGAGCGTGGACGGCTTCGCGCATCTTCTGCATCAGCTCGTAGTCCGGCGTTCGGATGACTTGCTTCGTCTGCTCTGCCATCCAATCCTTGAACTTCTGCGTCTCTGCTCCGTAGGGCTTGCCGGTCTTTTCGTTGATCGGGCCGTCCGCGACAATGTATTCGCTCTTGAACTTCTCCTCGCCTTCAAGAACGAGCGTATGCGTCGCTCGCCCGATGACGAACGACTGCGTATCGCCCTTGATGATCATGCCGTCCGCGACCTTCTTAAACTCGGAAGGGCAGCGGCGGAAGACGGCGAGACGGTGGCTCGTCACGTAGCGGTTGTCCTTCGTCGCGGCGTGGTATTCACAGGACGGGATGTCGAGAATGAACTTTGGTTTTTCCGTTGTCATTGTTTGTCTCCTTTACAGTTTCAGTTTTCCTTCTTTGATTTTCTGATTCAACAAATTCTCGTCTTCGCTTATAGCATCCACCACGCCATACCATTTTGGCACTTCGATTGGGAAGTTGCATCCAACTCCTCCGCCGTTCTTATCCCGCCAGAAGCGCCCGAATGTCTGCTTGCAGTATTGAATTGCATCGCACTCTGGACACTTGCGTTTATAAGAATTGCTCCCCGGCATACCATTCAGCCGTTCTGCGTGAACCCGCGTCACCAGTGATAGCCGCCCTTGCGCTTGTGGTTGCGCTTGGACGGACATTCTGATTTCTTCAAGACATTGTTGATAATGAAAAACTCATATCTGCCTCCATCGCTCTTACGCGATCCGAGGATATGCTTCTTGCACATGCGCTTCAGCGTGAAGCATTTGAGCGAGCGACTGATTCCATCGACCTTGATCTCCTTTGACGGAAGCGGACGGCCCGCCTGACGCAAGGCGCGAAGGATGATCTCTTGGCGTTCACGAACGGGATTGTCGATCCAATACCGCTCTTCCTTGGCGTTTCTCAGCCCGTCGATCTCCGCCACAAGCGTCCTCGCCCTCAAGTTGTCGCAATCAATGCAGCCACTCTGAGCCTTCCTCATACATCCGCGGCACTTCTCCGCGAAGATGTTGAGAAAGCCCCTGACTCGATTCAGGAACGAGCGGCGGACTGTCACGACGTCATCCATTGGCGTGAATTCTCCTATCGAGCCACCCATTTAGGGATGAGCGACGGAAACGGATCAACTTGTTCGAGAAGTGGAGGTGCGGAGGGATGCGGAGCTTGCGCGTCCTCGCCCAATGGAGTAGACGCTTGGCGGGGATTCCGGTCTCCTGTTCCGCTTGCTCGGGCGTAATGATATCCGCCGGCACGAAATCGACTTCTGGCTCCTTACCACGACGAGCATTGTTGAGAAGGGCGATCACATCATCCGAGTCCACGAATGCGAGATACGACGACTTCAGGAGTCTCCGGCAGGGCCAGATTCCGATGTTGAGACGTTCGCAGACGAAATCACGCTTTAGACGGTAGGCCATTTCAGTTCTCCGTCATGAAGCGCTCGATCATCCATGCGATTTGCTTGCCGACCGAGCGCTTTGCCTTGACTGCTGCGCGCTTGACCTTCTTTGCGACTGATTCGCGGAAGGGCGCATTGATGTAGACTGTCTTTTCTTCTGCCATAATTCAATCCATTTGGTTTGATAAATCAATCAGCACACTTGATAGCCAGGAGTGACATACGAGGCGAAAGTTCGCTTGCCACTGATGGCGTTGACATGGAGCGAACAGAAATCATCGACATTTACAGATGGAAATCCGGTTTTCGTCGGACGAGCCACATGGCACTCGCAGCGTCCGTCCTCGCTGATGCGGGCGAAGATGCACTGCTCACACTTCACACCCTTCGGCACAACTGCCGGGGCAGAAGCGGCGGCACGTCCTGTCAGGAGCTGTATCTTGAGGACGCCGTTCGCCCATTGGCGGAACTGTATGCCGCGAGGCGACTTTATGCGGTAGCCGACCGAAAGGATTGCGTCAAGGTTGTAGTGCTTCACGGTGTAGCACTTGCCGTCGGCAGCAGTATACAAGAAATCCTTGTAAACTTGAAACCCGCACAATTCCTCGGCAATCGCGTTCTTTATGTGAAGACTTACGTTCTGCTGCGAGGTGAGGAACAGTTCTGCAATCTGCTTCTGCGAGAGCCAGATGGTGTCGCTCACGATACGCGCCTCGATCTTCGTCTGCGAATC